TCAATCACTGGTCAGGGGAATGTTTCACAAGCCGACCTGAGGGAGGCATTTCCTCAGCAGAAGTTCCCTCTTCCCAGATGGCTCTAGCTTGTGTCAAGTTGACCTAAAAACTGCCTGCACAGGACCTTTGAAGGCCAGTTTAGAAACCTTAGTGCTGCCGGGCAGTGGTGGCGCACGCCTTTAATCCCAGCACTTGGGAGGCAGAGGTAGGCAGATTTCTGAGTTCGAGGCCAGCCTGGTCTTCAGAGTGAGTTCCAGGACAGCCAGGACTACACAGAGAAACCCTGTCTTGAAAAACCAAAAAAGAAACCTTAGTGCTTAGTGGTTACAAGCATGGGAACTGGTGACTTTTGACACTAGGGCCCTTAGGAGGCACCATAGCAGACAGGAGCTGCCTGTCCCATACACAGCAAGCAGTCACTAAGCACCCCCACGGCTATTCTATGGCTAAGTGAGTGTTGAGGACAGTAATCCTAAAGTATCTGACCCTAACGTAATTCTCTCTCTCTCTCTCTCTCTCTCTCTCTCTCTCTGTCCCTGTCTCTCCTGTACACACAGACACACACACAGACACACACACAGACACACACACAGACACACACACACACACACACACAGAGAGAGAGAGAGAGAGAGAGAGAGAGAGAGAGAGAGAGAGAGAGAGAGAGATTGAGAGAGAGAACTGGGAAGTCTGAGCTCTGTTGAACAATTGAATCTATTAAAAACTTAAAACCTCATGTTAGCCAAACCTTGAAACTTAAATTTGTATTTTTTTCCCTTGAAACCCCATACCTTGAGCTCTTGCCAAGGATGAAGTACCTCTATAAACAGTCTATTAATAGGATACTTTATAGGGTCTCCTAAGTCTTGATTTTCTAATAGCAATCTAAATCTAGCCATAAATTTACTCGATAATTTTGTTTATGAAAAATATTCTAGATGGTTATAAATCAGCTGGTGGGGATGCTGGGACTGTGGGGTGCTGGGACTGTGGGGTGCCGGGACTGTGGGGTGCCGGGACTGTGGGGTGCCGGGACTGTGGGGTGCCGGGACCGTGGGGTGCCGGGACCGTGGGGTGCCGGGACCGTGGGGTGCTGGGACCATGGGATGCTGGGACCATAGGGTGCTGGAACTGTGGGGTGCCGGGACCGTGGGGTGCCGGGACCGTGAGATGCTGGGACCGTGGGATGCTTGGACCGTGAGTTGCTTGGACCGTGGGATGCCGGGACCATGGGCATGGGTGGTAACTTGGTTGCCCATGCTTCTCTCTTTACGGCTTCATGCACTCAGCTTTCTTATCCAGAGAAACATCTCAACAGACCCACACATCCTTCCCGAGGTCCGTAAGTCTCCTTCATCAACTTAAATCCTTCTGAAGCACAGGTGTTTAGGATCCTTTGCCAAAAAGAACGGAGGCAAGCGGGCAGGATCCCCGCTGTTAAAGGCTTTCATTGCCTTTGAAGAAAATGATATAAAAACGGAGCCAGGTGTGGCCTTGGGCCTCAGTTTAACTTGTTTGTGAACAGACAGATCCTTACCCAGCCCCAGTGGGCTTTCGATGGTAAGAGAGAGGTCTCAAGGCCACTCGTCCGGGGCTGGGCTTCTGCGTTTTGTTCTGTCTGGCCATTGTTTTTCCTTTGGCGAGTTACCAGCGGGCCTTACATCCTTGATGCCACGCCGCAGTCTCCTATTTCTGACTTAGACAATCATCCCGGCACCACGCACCAACTTTCTATATTTACCAGCAGCTGCTTCAGAGATGTGGAAACAATTTTCTCAACCACTGAGAAGACATGAAGCCGGCAAGTAGGACAAGCTGTTCTCCATGGAAGAGCCTCGTTGGCTTGAGCAGAAAGAAGGGAGCAACTCAGCAGGAACCTCTCTCGTGCTGCCCCTTGTCCATCTTCATCTCCTGATGTCAGGCTATGGCTTTGTCCAGAGAACAGCGGGATGTTGCTGTAGAATATACCAGAATACTCAAGCCAGCTGGTGTGGGGTGATACTATCTTACGGAAGAGTGAAGGACTCTTGATCTTCCCACTCATCCTCGATCACTGGCTGGCCTCAGGCATCTGGGTCACTTGTTCTGTTTTGGGGGAGACACTGAGGAGGGTATGCTGGATCCCAGTGGTTTAGATGCCACTGATGAGACTAGAGAGCCCCCAGTTCAAAGAACTAAAGACTAAAAGGCTGCACGTGTGCACAGCCCTGCCCGTGCCTCAGCCCTCAGCAGGGGATCAGAATGTTCCCTTTCCCCCAGGCTGTTTAGTAACTTCTTTCTGGGCTCAGTGACACATGGGCATCAGGGGCCAGAGCAAGCTAGAACTGAGATGAAGAAGCCCAGGGTTTAGTCTTAGCACTGCCCCCTAACCAAGGAAGGGGAGGGGCCATTGGGTAGTTTGCCTCTACCAGGTCTTGTGTTGTGCAGAACTTTGGGATGCAATATAGCAGGTGGCATTATTTACAGTAGCTCACAGATGAGGAGGTGGAGGTTCGGAGATGGCCAGGAGTCCAAGTCGCCCCCCTCCACTGCCTGTGCCTGCCTCTATTACCCGTCTCTTTCGACCTCAGGCTTCTTGCAGTGAACCACTGGCAACTCTGGCAGATTCTCTAAGTCCAGCCATCTCCATCTGTGAAATTTATTTTGTTAAAAACAACAAAACACCCTAATTGTCTTTCTTCAAACCGTTGCTGCCACCTAGTGGTAATTATTAGAAACGGGAAAATTTCAGTTCAACTTGAAAAGTTCCAGTTTCTTTGAAGAAAGGACTTAACAGTAGAAAAAAAAAAATTCAGAGTTTTCCAGGGCATAGACTGTGTTTTAAAATAAATTCTGTGACATTCCATTTTTATCTTCATAGAATATTACCAGATATAAGATTTAAATATTTATGATGACATATCGGGCATTTGGTGAAACACCTATTATTACTTTAGGGCTGTCTTATATTCACTCACAATTTAGGATGGCCCATACTTAACTAATTCTTATCCAGTGGCTGTAGAGATGGCTCTGGGTGAAAACCACTTAATGATCTTGCAAAGAACTCGTTTGATTCCCAGCACCCGTATCAGGAATTCCAGGTCCAGGGGATCCCATGGGCCCCACATGTACCTGTACACATGTGGCACACATAAACTCAGCTAGGTGCTCACATTTGCAGAAGTTTTAAAAAAAACTCTAAAAAAGAACATTCTCACCCTGATATTCAAAACTTATATTTTTAACTCCTTGGATACATATTTTCAATTTTTCACATTCTAGTGGTTAAGAAAATCAAACAACCAGATCATGTCAGGAGACAAATAAAGCCCTCCTCCACAGGGGGTAGTTTCTTAAGAATCTCTTCTGGGTTTCTCCAGAAACATTCTATTCTGGGAACAGAACACCAGTGTTCTTTTAAAAATACATTTAGTTAGAAAACACACACACACACGAATGTGCGCGTGTACACACACGGGGGGGGCGGGTATTTGTTTTTGCAAATGTATTTCTATAGTAAAATTTTGGACATGAGTTGTTAAGTCTAAAGCCCAGGTTAACAGCTGCTCACCGCGATGCCCAAGAACACCTCTGGTCAAAGAAACAGGATACATTAAGATGCTGAAGCAGAGAAGGTACCACAGCCATTTCTGGATGGATTTGCAGAGTGTGTTCAAGGTTGAGGCTTGTGCTGGGTCACTCCAGGGGGACAGGTTGGTGATTCAGGTCTGGGAGAAGAGAAGCTGGGACAGTTACAGATGTGGCCAGAAGAGGGGGCTGTTCCGTCACTTTGTACATGGGACCCTGTGTCTGTCTTATTCTGAACGTGGCCGCTAAGTGGCCTTGCCTGGACACTGCTCTTTTCCATTAGTCTTGTTTTTTACGGAACAGTGGCCGCTGCCAGCTGGTGGCGCGTGCTCTTGTTTTCTCAGACACATGGATTTTGAATGATTGTGGTGTTGATGTTAATGTCAATGAACTCTTCCTTTTGATGTGTCTCTGCATTAACACATATATATTCTGCTTCCCTGACACCACAGCGTGTAGAATAATCTGCATGGTCTTAGCACCTTTAGTAACAGCAAGTATTACTGAAGGGCTACTTTTGACAGGCAAGAGCATGGTGCAGGACCAGGCCGGCTAACTCCAATGTTCATATTGTGATGGTCAGTATTGATTGACAGCTTGACAGAATCTAGGACTCCCACCACCACCACCATGAAGACAGAGCTCTGGGCATGACTGTGAGGGACTCTCTAGATTGGGTTGACTAAGTTGGGAAGACCCACCCTGGTTTGTGGGCTGGGTTCCTGAGCACCATAAAAAAGGTAACAGTGAGCTGAGGCTGGCTCTCTCCCGCTCCCTGATGGCAGTGCGGTGTGCCCAGCTGCCACATCCTCAGGATATAGCCTTGGTTCCCCGAGCTGCATTTGCTGGCCTTCTTGTTCCATCAGTGAGAGATGTAGCTAAAACACGTGCCTCCTAGGAATCTGCCCAGGACAGATGATAGCTAAGGAATTAAGTCATTTAACCAATAGTGGAAAGGCTGGCTTGGGTAGATAAGGAAGTAGAATTTCATTATAGATTTGAGAATGACGGACAGTGCTCCTGGAATCACCCACAGAGATGAGCGGGGCTCCCGGCACACATACTTAGCTGCTTCACATGTGTCCTCAATTAAATCAGAGCCTGTGAGTGCTTTCTTAATGTCCCAGCCAAGATGTAATAATTAAATAGTCTCTAGGCCAACTGGACCCCAAAGGGTGCCTAACTCCTGAGGAGCTAGGAGATGAAGGACATCCATCTGCTGAGATCCACTGAGGACTGAGCAGCTGTCTTACCACGTGAGGACAAGTCCTGAGGGATTTAGTGGAGAAGATTTTACACAGGGAAATGAAACCATAGTTGAGAACAGAGTGACTAGGAAGAGCTGGCTGCACTGTGGGTCCAGGGGACTGCTCCTCCTTGGGTTTTTCAAGGGAAATGGCAGTAACCGTGGGCTGTTGCTCTCTTCCAGACTGTGCCGGCTGTGGAAGGGACATTAAGAACGGGCAGGCACTGCTAGCTCTGGACAAGCAGTGGCATTTGGGCTGCTTCAAGTGCAAGTCCTGCGGGAAGGTCCTCACTGGAGAGTACATCAGCAAGTAAGTCTGGGTCAGAAGAGCTTGGGTCCCGGCTCTGCTTTCTGGGGTCTCCCTCCTCACTCAAGCATGCCAAAGCACATTCCTATTTTGCGTCAGTATGAACCAGCTGCTGTAAAATTTGTCGAAATAGCTTCATTATTCTGTTTGTGTCATGCCGTGCCTGCTGCAAACTTAATGGACTATTAGCGGCGCCCCAATTTAATAATTTACAAAGTGGTATACCCTACCGGGTCATCAATTAAGCACCTTGCCACGTCTCCTTTGCTATTTTTGTTTTCTATGCGATGCTAACATAATTTTCTTCTCTGGGGCTTTAGACATCTCCCCAAAACACATGTTGTCTAGGCACCGAGCCTGGCAAGACCAGAGCCACAGAATAGCCGGTCAGGGTGAAGATTCATGTTAGAATCATGGGTAGATTAACCAGAGTTATACAAATCCGTGGAACTTGGGTGGGATTTTATTTTATTTATTTTATTTTATTTTATTTTATTTTATTTTATTTTATTTTATTTTATTTTATTTAGTGTGCTCTGGTAGTGAAGAGGAATCTGCCACTCTGAATCTTTACATGGCTTTTAAATTTTTCCCCAATCAGGGGATAAGGAAATAGCTTGATAAGGGAGCTTAGACTCCAGAGTGCAGAAGGCCTGGGTTGGGTCTCCGGAATGAAGATGTAACTCAGCTGGTAGAGTACTTGCCTAGCTCACCCAGCACCCCGTGTGCTAAGGCTGTATGAAAGTGGGTGTAGAGATTGCCTGTTCTGGTGGCCTGGGCTTCTTCAAGAGCTGGAGGCCAGCCTGGCTACATAGGACCCTGTCTCAAAGGTCAAAAACAAGAAACACAAAACCTACCCAATTATATTAAATCACTCATTCAAACATAGTTGATGAATTTAATCTCACCGATCCATGAAATGGTTAAAAAGGGAGGATTGGCTCCCACCACCCGAAAATGTGGTCTGGGGGTCAAGCTGAAGCACTCCTGTAAGAGACTAAAGATCTCCACAGGTGATGGTGACAAACAGCCTGAAGGACAACATGTGTGTCTGTCTGACTTTCAAGTGACACTGATGACTGCCAGTAACAAGCAGAGCAGGCACTCAGGAAACGGCAGCTTCACCACACTGTGAGGTGAATGCTGGCTACTGAGCGGAACCATGTTCTAAAGCCTCAGAGCCAGGGGGGCCTGAGCTGAGAGGTGATGTTTGAGGCTGTGGGGAGGCTCTGGTGGACCTCTGATTCTGAGAAGATGGTGTGGGAAGGGAAGTAAGATACCCCAGACCTCTCAGGCTGTCTCATCTGAGGGTTGTTTGGGTTGTCAAGAGGAGAATACTGGGGTCTCTGCTCCTTAATTCTGTGACAACCAAGGAAGTAGGCACAGTAACCATTTGGTGGTTTAGTGGTTTTTTGTTTTTTCTCTGTCTGGCCTAGAGAACTACCACTACTCTCTGGCCTGTGGTTTTGTCTGGTCAGGACGCTAGGTCTGTGTAAAGATGAATTCTACTCTTGCTCTGTGGGAAGGGCATCAGAAATGTGGCTTTGGTATCTTCCTGAATGCAGCTTTGTCTTTCAGGGATGACTTCCCATACTGTGAGAAAGACTACCAGGGGCTCTTTGGGGTGAAGTGTGAAGCCTGTCACCAGTTTATCACAGGAAAAGTCCTAGAGGTAAGTACAGAGGGGGTCCCCTCAAACTTCCACCGTTTGCCCGTTCATCCCTCGTGTCTCCCGCTGAGGAGGAAGGAGAGTAGCTGCAGGTCTGAGAGGATTCATGATTACCTTTTTTCCAAATGCCAAGGAGAACTTGAAATAATGGAGAAAAGAACAGACCTTCCTCACTGGGAGTTAAGCAGACATTTTTTTTTTCTTCTTAGAAGTAAGAATATGGTGTCAGACCCTCTGTTACCATCTGTGTTTGCACATGTGTGTTTGTCGGTGTTGACCTCAGAAGCTCAGAGTCTGAGGTGAGAGAGGAAGGGAGGGTGCAAGGTAAAGACTTTGACTTCTCTGCCCTTAGAAAGCCACATCCGCTGTGACTCAGAGAACCCTGTGACAGAGCTGAAGGAAGCCTGTCAAATTCAGGTGTGACTGCTTCCAGCCACAGCTTTGTCCTTGCCTGCTCAGCACCTCCCCTGCCAGCACCTGCCTCTGGGCCTAGTTAGCTCCTCTTGGATGAGAGAGGCTGCAGCAAGGAATTCTGGGATCAAAGTTCAGAGAAAACCCTGTTTCTCACAGACCTTTTGGGGATCATCAAGCTGGAGGGGAAAGTAACAGTTGCTACACACACTTTCCTGTCTGTAGGGCAGCGATAATGTGCAGATCCAGGAAGCCCAGCAGCCTGCTGACCTACCAGCCCATCATGTGGGTCACTCGGGTGCTGATTCCATACGACCAGTAGAATATGTTTTAAAGACACAGGCTGTCTATCCTGGGAGTCCTTGTGGTGTTTCTGTCCATTCTGAGGGATATCTCAACAAAGGTTAAGACTTATCTCCCCAAGTCCCACTACAAGTTCTTCCCACGAAAGGTCAAGGGGTCACCATGGACTAATTGTCCTGAAGGAATAAGAAAGAGCCTCTTGTCAAGTACGTTTGCCCAGTAGTCAGAGGGAGAAAGCTCTAATAAAGACGATCACATGGCAAGAACACAGGACACACAAGAACAGAAAATGAGCATGTTGTGGGGGCACCGTGCTGGAGAAGTTGGGGAGGGCCCCTCCAGGTTCACACTCATAAGTTTGAGCTTTGTCGAGAGACACGAGGAAGATTTAGGCTCTGTGGCTGCAGTCATAGGATGGAGTCAGGGTGCTGTGGAAAGAATAAATGGGAGTATTCAAACACCTGTGCACGCACATTCCCCACCCACTGTTGACAGCAGAGGGAGGAGGAAGTCACTCAGTCACGCCCCAGTAGATGTCTGGAAGCAGTGATACCTGTGGTCCCACAGATGACCCATAAGTGAAAGATGGCAAGTGGGGGAGTGTCCTGATCAGATCATCCAGCCATGGAGCCCATCACCAAAGGCCTAATGACTAGAAACTGAAAGCTGACTGCTGTTTGCCAAGGGCTAGGGTGAAAGTGATAGTGACTGTTTCCGGGACAGTTTCCATTAGGCAAGCGCTTCGGAATTAGATAGAGAGGTAGTTACATGGCCTTGATGGTTCACTAGGTGCCTCTAGGTTGTTTTTAAGATGGTGCATTTTAGACTATATGAATTTTGCCTTGAATCTAAACTTTAAAAACCAAGAAGGGTATGAGGGTACTGTAAGGAAAAAAAGTCAGAAGATGCAGAACTTGGTACTCAAGTTTAAGGTCATGTGTTGGAATCAACAGATTCAACCATTTTTTTTTACAGTCGACACATGGAAATGTGTTCCCCAACAGGGTTGTGTGTTTTTTGCGTGCATGTTTACATTTACTTCAACAGCTGCAGGAAGGAATCTATAAATGATAGTTGCAATCTAGTACATCCCGTTTTGAAGACATGCTGGTCCCTCTTGTTTTTCCTCTCAGGCTGGAGTCATAAAGGTTGCAAGGGTCTTGTCTCAAATTGGCCTCAGGTGACAGGGAAAGCCTGAAGAGTCTGGGGCTTGAAGACATTCCATACAAAGCCTCCAATGTCAGTCAGCCTGGGAGTGGTTTGCACTTTCAGCTTAGAGTTCTGCCCAGCAGGCTCTGTCCTCCTCAAATGGGTGTGTGACCCAGAAAAATGTCCTGCAGGGGCTAGCACAAGACATGTGACTGCTAGTGAGTCAGCTGGGCTTGGTCACCAAGAGAAAGCAGGATCAGTCTCCACGCCCCATCTCTCGGCAAGCTTCATTCCCTGGCCCTGTTGATGAACCAACCATTCTAAGTGTAACATTGTCTTCAATATAAACCTTGTCTTTTTTGTTTTAAATTCATTGTATCCGTATATCTGTGCTTTTATTTTCTGCATGGGCTTCAACAGTGATGGCTTAAAACAATTTATTCCCTCATTTTTAGAATCTAGACATTTATAACAAAGTATCATCAAGGACATTGTTCTCTTAAATGCTGGTGGAATGGTCCTTCATGATCTCCTGCTTCCCAGAATGCATCACTCCAGGTGCCCCACCTCCTCTGCCAGCTACTCTTCCAGTCTTCTCCTAAAAGTGCACTTACATTTTATGTAAGACCATGCCCATCACTCAAATAGTCCCTTCAAGACCCTTGCCTTAATTACATCTCTGAATACTGTTTCCAAATAAGTTAGCATTTCCAACTGCAAAGACTTACTGTGGAGGTATTTTTTTGCTCATCCCATTCTAGAACCCCGAGACTGCCTAATGTGGAAAGACTATAAACATTGAAGTGGAGCTGAGGCCACTACATGTGGTTCTCCCAAGGGTGCTTTAAAAAGCGAAGGGCCCCAAACAGCCTGTCCAGGTATAGCCATGTCTCTTGTTTCTCTAACATTTCCTGGAGAACCTCAGCCCCCTTAGGGTTATCTTTCTCTCACTGACACAAAGTATGCGTGTAGCTTTCAGAACATCATCCTGCCCTCACTTCCGCCGTTTCTCTTTTGAGTTCTTTAAAGATATTTTGAGACAGGTCACACATATCCCAGGCTAACCTCGAACTTGCTATTGTCTGAGGATGATCTTGAATTGTTATTGCTCCCACTTCCATCCCCTGACTGCTGGGATTGCAGGAGTGGATTAGCATGCCTGGTGTATGTAGGGCTGTGGTTATGCATGCTAGACAAGCATTGTACCAACTGAGCTACAGCCCCACCCCACCCCACCCCCAGAGGTGTAGTGCTCACACATTTCTTCAGCCTGATGGAAGGGGGATAAGCAGAGACCAAGTAGTTTAAAGAGAAAAGTGACAGGGAGCTCTTAGCTCTGGAACTCACCCACTGTGTGACCTAGGACAAGCCCATCAACATCCTTAGCCCATCTCTCCTTTCATTAATGGAATCATTCAAAATATGTGGACAAACCCAAGGCCGGGTGCTTGTCTCTCAGTGTCCTTCCCAGCATGTGAGTTCTCCAAGACTCTGCATCTCAGGGGTCAGAGCCCAAGGTTCATTCTGACTGGTCTGTCCCGCCCAGGCACATGGCACACACACCTGTGTCACCCTTCTCTTTATTATCACATACTTCCTGTTATCTTTGCAACAGTGACGTTGTCTTTGGGGACCATCTTGTTGTAAATGGTGAGTCCTTAAAAATGTTTGCTGGGCTCATTGAGTAAAGGTGCCTGATGCTGAGCTCGGTGATGCTGAGCTCGGTGGCCTGAGATCCATGGGATCCACATAGTGGAAGGAGAGGCTTGCACATTGCATGCATGCCCTTCCAACACACACAAAATAATAAATGAATAAAATGTAACTGTTTTCTTAAAGTATTTACTAATTGACCTATAAACCCAAAGGATGTTCTGAAGATTGTTACAGCCAGCCTGCTTCTTAATTTAAGAGGCTGGGAGCAAATTAGAGTGAAGCATTAGGCTTTGCTGGTCACCTCCTACCTCCAGGGCCTTCTTGAACTGTCCTTGGAGTCAGCCCCTCCTGTTTCTTCTCCCCAACCCTTCCCCTCTCCCCACTCCTGCTCTGGAATCTGCAAGGTGACTCAGGTCAGTCATGGGTGCTAGTGGGCCTGGGACTTCCCTTTTCTACAAATCTCCCTCATCTTTGGTGGATGCCCCAAGACCCTTTTCCCAGATGCTGAAAGCCATCTGTGTGAAGAAGCAACTGTAAATCATTTTGTGAGGACAGCAAGTGAACTGTAAACAAAGTCTGGAGAGCAGGGGGAAGGGGCTTGTCCGGAGTCTCCTCTCTCAGTCCTGGGCTCCCTCATCCCTTCTGTTCTCTAACACCATCCCCACCACCCCACCACCCCACCACCCCAGGGTGCCTCTGGGGCATGGCTCACTCTCTCACTTAAAACAAGTGGCCCCAGCCATTGTCCCCTCTGCCAAGGTGCCTTCCCTAAGGAGGCACCTGCAGGCTGCTACCTCCTGGGAGTGGGGTGGGGACATTCTTCAGTCCTTTCTAGAAGGAAGTAGGCAGGAGCTGTGTCCCGGTTCTCACCACAGGGGTGGGAAACAGTCTCTGTTCTTGCTCAGGTCACACAGGCTTTCCTGGTTCTCCTCCCACCAGCCAACACCTGCAGGCTGAATCTGGTCTTTCCAGAGTGTGTGGTGATGCCTGTTTTCTTGGGGTGCCTCTGGGGACTGTGTGCTACTCTCTGTAAGAGCTACTGAAGAACCTGGCCCTTATGAGACCCCTTAGAGCCCCACCCCCCTCCACCGCCCATGTAAACCTCTAGACCCGTCTTGTCTTGCCGGGTTAACTTGGATGGGATTTGTGCTTTGCTTTCAAACCCCTTCTGCTCAACTCCTGGCTTGTGAAATGGGATCACAATGGGATCCAATCAAATCCTTTCTCTGGATACTCCAGGGGATTAAAAACCAGTAGTGTTGTTCTGTCTGGCCTCTTAACTGATTAAAAACCTGCTTTTTCACAAATTGTGGGGCTTGAAGGACAGACACACAATCCATCACATCAGAAAGTGAGGGCACTGTCCCATCCTTTTTGGTGTGGAGATTTTAGGCAGGTTTGGCCTTGTTTTGGACTAGCCAGTCAGCTTCGGAGAGAAACAGAAGTTATCCCATAGCATTTACTCAACATGTCTGTTTGTCACC